TGTGTGTGTGTGTGTGTGTGTGGGGGGGGGGGGGGGGGCGCTCTGCCATGAGGAAGTTCAGCTTAAAGACACGTCCCAGGGGTGTTTCTGGTCCCAGAGGTGTTTCTCGTCCCAGAGGTGTTTCTGGTACCAAAAGGTGTTCCTGGTCCCCACCTGTCGTTTTGCTCCTCAGCATGGCTTCATAAAAACACTGCAGGATTTCTCAAACATGATGAATGAGTCAGAGCAAGGCTTTGGGCATGTTTTTATGAGAGGATAACATTATAACATGATATAAAACTCTAAAAAGTTGATTTTACATGATATTGTCCCTTTCAGACTTAGGAAAGCTTCAGTTTTACAGAAACAGAGTTAACGTTGGTTCCAGGTTAGTTTCTTATCACCTCTTGTTATTTTCAGGTGAATATTGCGTAAATATAAGTTGTTTGTGTTCGTTGCAGACCTGGAAGCTCAGTTAGAAGAACAACGAAAGCAGCAGCAGGTCCGAGCTCTTCTCTCCAACCCGCAGTCCTCCAAAACCAAACCCGCCGCCAAGCGCCCGTCCAAGCGCCCCCGCCTGCAGAGGCCCGCCTCCACCACCACGCTGCTGGCGTCCCCCATCAGCCAGCAGCCCCAGCAGTTCACCGTCCTGTCCCCCATCTCCCTGTCCTCGGTGGGACAGCCGTTCACGGTGACGGGCCTGCCCGTGGCCTCCCTGGCTCGCTCCTCCAACACGGTCACCCTGCTCCCCGCCGGCTCGCAGCTCTTCACCCGCTACATGGTGGCGGGGGACGGGAAGAGCGACGCCATCGCCCTCCACCCCTCGTCGGGCCTCACGCTGGTCGGGACCGCCGCCRTGCAGGACTCCGGCCAGCTGGGAGCGGTGATGAGCCCCGTGGAGCTGGTCCACCTGAGCCAGCAGGCGGGGGGCGGGGAGGTGTTGGACGGCACCGTCCTGGTGCATCAGGAGGTGGAGGCCGGCCCGGAGCACACGGTCATCGAGATCAACCCCACGCCTGTGGAGCAGGCGGTGATGGAGCTGCAGCTGGCCGCCGAGCCCGGAGGAGACGAGGCCACCGTGGTGGTCCAGAGCGGCATGGAGGTGACGATGGAGGGAGAGGCGCAGCAGGCGCAAACTGAGGGGGTTCAGGGGCTGCAGCTGGACGCTGGGGGACCTCTGTCAGACGTTCAGATCTTAGTGATCGAAGAAAACACCCAGGATGAAAACAAGGACAAGTGAGGCGGGGCTTCTTCTCCACGGCAGGTAGAAACTCCCAGAATCAGCTGACACGCTCATCAGACTGTTAGAGCCAATCAGAGCTCCTCACTGATCCTCACAGCTCCTCACACCTGACTCCTTAACTCCTCACACCTGACTCCTTAACTCCTCACACCTGACTCCTTAACTCCTCACACCTGACTCCTTAACTCCTCACACCTGACTCTTAACTCCTTAACTCCTCACACCTGACTCTTAACTCCTTAACTCCTCACACCTGACTCTTAACTCCTCACACCTGACTCTTAACTCCTAACACCTGACTCTTAACTCCTAACACCTGACTCTTAACTCCTCACACCTGACTCTTAACTCCTCACACCTGACTCTTAACTCCTCACATTTTCAGCAGAAACACGGTGCAGACTTTACTGCAGTAAACCCAGCTTTACTGTAAACACAGCTGAAGTAACCGTTAAGACCGGTGCCCACATGACTCGCTGGTCACTTAGTGGCTAAACTCAGACTTGAGTGACAGCAGTGAAACAGCCACTGTTGGAGACATGATTACGTATGCATGTAATGCAGACTATATAAAGAATAAATTGTAATAAACGAACATTCTTTAAGCCCCGCCCCTTAAACAAAGCAAAGAGCGACTGTGAGCAGACAGTCTGGTGATTTGTCTGTGAGTTCATTAAGTGTTGGAGGCTGAGGCTGGGGGACAACTGCACTGTTGTATGTTGGTGTTTTTGCACAGCCTAACGTCCTTCAGGGACGACGGGACGGCGTGAGCGTCTCTTCAGAGCGAGGCCCATCTGCTGGGCTTTCTGTTTTGTCAGAGGCGAGTGGAAACAGACTGAACTGCATCACTTTGGCACTTATTCTCAGTGTTTTTATTTTCCTTACCTAAAACTCCGATGCTTGCTCTCAGCATGACAGATGATGTGAGCTGTGATCGTTGGAGTTAGGGCTCCATATGCTCACCGTCAGATTCGCCTGGTTTGCATCTGTAAATTAGTGACATATTTATTGGTTTTCAAACTGTTTGAGGTTTAAGTGTGGATTTAATTTAACACTTTTCTTTACAGCTCACAAGGCTTGTTCAATAATTTAATTTAACAAATGAGAGAGTTGGTGTACATGATTTGTAATGTGTTTTAATATCTGAGGAAAATAAAAATGGTGTTTTACCACCAGAGGGCGCTGTGTGTCCATCTCTAAAAACAGATGCTGTTGGGAAAATATGTGTGCATGGGAATGACTTTTGACCAGAGACTGTTTGGTGCTGTGGGGGGGTGGGGGTGGGGTACAGAGGTAGCGAGGAGTCGGCCATGATGGATGAAGGCTTTGCCATCATTCCTCTGTTTCCCACCTGCTCAGTAGATTCCAGTGTGCAGTCCAGGACAGAGCTGGTTAAAGATGAAATTAAATGAGCCCAATATCTCAGTGTCTGACCTTTGCATGATGACCGGTGAGAGGAAGGATCAGGTGACCCCCACCCACCCCCCCCATGTACTCCTGCTCATTCACCTCCACCACACAGCAGTAGTGTCACCTGAGGACTTGTGCAGGTGGCAGACGGTGGAGGTGTAGAGGGTCTGAAAGAAAGGCAACAGCACCGCCCCCTAAGGAGCCCCCATGCTACAGACTACCACACCAGACTTACGGCCCTGCAGAGTCACATTCTGTGCATTACACAGCCAGGTGTTAGTCCATACCGGCCTCCACCACTTCCGCACCAGCTTTGGATGTTATCATCCATTAAATGGATGTTATTAGTCGTTATCAGTCCCATAGAATGGATTCAGAATGTCCCAACTGTGGCTCCTAGTGGGTTCTCCGTCCCATAGAATGGACTGATAACGTCAGAACCGGCTGGTTAGTACGAGGCATAAAGCCACTAAGATTTTTTATGCAACCTGATTAATATGAAAATGACATGGGCTTTTGTAAAGTAGACCAATGTTGCAGGCCCAATGTAGGACAGTGGGTAGAGCACCAGACCAGAGAGCAGGAGAGCAAGGATTGAGACCAGGCATGAGCAATGAGAAAACCATGCCCCCTCCCCGCCCCGGACAAAAAATTAATTAAAATATGTTTTGGTTATTTACATATTCAGTGTCATTGATATATTAACCCACTAGGGGCCACTGTTGGGACAGACTGAAGCCATTCTATGGGACTGATAACCGCTAATAATGTCCATTTAATGGACTGACAACATCAGAAGCTGCTGACTTCCTCCTGCAGCAGTGACAGCCGTATGGTGCTGAAAGCAGAACGTGACTCTCACAGTTCTCCTGGAGGACTCCACATGAGAGGGAGCAGGTTTGTGTCGTCATCCACTCCTAGCAGGTCTGCAGATGATTATCTTTTCTTGAATTATCGTGATCAGTTTCTCAGTGTTCTTAAAACCAAGAATGAACTGTCAGATTGTGGAGAACCTGGCACTGATCACAGTTTGTTAGTCTTGTTTGGATAACTTCCATATAAACCCCATCATTTAAGGAGACAGCTGTTTACTCTTCAGTGATCCTGCTGATAGAACATACAGTGGTTTGCAAAAGTATTCATACCCCTTGAACTTTTCCATATTTTGTTACATTACAACCACAAACATAAATAT